TGAGTATAATATCTCCGTAACCATGGAATTCAGATTGTTACTATGAGTATAATATCTCCGTAACCATGGAATTCAGATTGTTACTATGAGTATAATATCTCCGTAACCATGGAATTCAGATTGTTACTGTGAGTATACTATATCTGTAACCATAGAATTCAGATTGTCACTATGAGTATACAGTACTATGTTCTAGCCAAAATGTGCTACAGTTGTATCAAAACAGAAGTTAAAGGGAGGTTACTGTGTATAGGAAAAACGGCAGTGCAGTCGGACAGGGATCCTTCAGGCAGGTTTTTTTTGGACTAAAATTGACAAATTGTAAATTTGCAAGTGAAAACCTTCAAGGCAATCTTAATATTTCAGATGAACTACAATTTCAACATTTAGATGTTTAATTTTAACATAAAAAAAATGTTCTTTTAAATCCAAGGAAATATTTGTTTTGGTTCCTTTCAGCCCGACTTCCCAACAGTTGTGCTGGCCCCGGGGGAGACGTACAGACAGACAACCACTTACAAGTTTGGCACCTCCAGTTAATGAAATGTAGGAGCTAAGTATTCTAAGCTCAACACAACAGAACAATTTTACCAAGGAGCTGGACTCTCTGACAAGTACAAATGGAGGAAGTACCGCCAGGGCCATGAATTTCGGTGGAATATTTCCGCCACGTATAAACAACGAACTGCAAGAACTACAGGGAGCCTCTTAGTCGTTCCGAGATTATTTCAAGGTTGTGAGGGAGCAATCCTTCTGTAATTTTCTCTCGTAGTGAGGGAGCAATCATTTTGTATGCACAAAATATTTTGCTATGTTTTTGTCAAGTCTACCTTTACTATTTTATATCGTTATTTGAAAATGTATATGGACCTATTACCATAACATACTTTATTATATTATAGAAGTGTTATACAGTATGATACTCATTATCACATAAATGTTCAGTATTTAACTTATAAATATAGAGTTGGTATGGGTTTAACTACTGAGGGATGAAACGTAACATCCCTTTCATGTTCACTTGTCTCTGTTTCATCTTTTCAATGTCATAACTAATCCATGAAGTAGAAAAATAATTTATGCAGCAACCAAGGAACGTATACAGAAAACAATGGTTAGCTAGCTTTTACTCCTTCAGTAGCAAAAACATGCATTTTAAACTTCACAGGTTTGTGCCAGTAGCTTTATCCATTAACTAAGATAACACAACACTAGGTATTGATCGGAAGTGTTTATGTAAGTCATTCATAAATGGTTAGATTAGCCAGTATAATAATCGCAAATGTCTAGAAAATATGTACAATTAAAATGTTACTATAATTGGTAAGATTTGCATCACATGAATCTTTGTAAACCTCGTTTTTTGATCGGGTGTCATACAGGTGCTTTCTCTTGGCATGGCAGACACAAATGCCAATTTATCATCACTTTGATATAACTTAAGTCACAACTGGGATTTCTTGGTCTAGCTGATTTTACTAATCTTCTGGAATCGCAAAATTTGTATTTTTTAGAATATATACAAGTACCGGTACTTGTTAAATTGGTGTGTGTGCTGTGGGAGGATTTTTGAATGTTTTGAGTATAGAACATAAGAATGTTTTGAATGTTTAAGAAAGACATTTATAAAATGGAATATTTGACACTTTTACTGAGAAGAAATAAAATACATGTAAAATCATTTTCTCGCCAGTTGTTATTTGTTGTTTTAAAATTCCCCGAAATTTGTTTGTGTCCAGACATTGAACTGTGGGATAATTGTGGGCATACATGCCATAACTTTCCGGTGCAAAACTGATCAGTTGATAACTGGTCTGGCCCGTAATTTAAGACCTGTCAGTAACCAGGGTAATTTTGGATACATGTAGCTATTGTTTCTTAGCGGAAATTGATCAAAATTTGTTACTTTTTTTTTGGGCCGATTGAAATTCGTGAGAAATGTGTCTCACACTGTGAAGAATTTTTCTGAATCAATTTTCATCAGTCTGGCTATCAAATCGTAAGCTATGGCATGTACTGTATGATTGTGGGAGAGTTGTGGGATATTATTTTGTGAATTCGGGTTTATGACGGACTGCCGACAATATTGTTATTTTTATCACTTTTAAGCGAAATGGAATTGGATTTGGCTTCTTAAATCACAATTTCTAAAGAGAATTAAAGAATAGCCAGGTATCTGATGTAAAGTGATAGTTTAATGACACTTGACCTCCTTGAAGAAATCTGTCATTATATAAATAAACATTTAAACCTACTATCCTTCACTGATTCCATCAAAGCTGTAAGAAAAAGGATTTTACAAGTAATTACTTGTTCGACTTCAAAATGAGGAAGTCTCTCAATGACTATATTTGAAGTAGCATTGATTTGTAGTGAACATTTTCCAGTGTACATTTTTTTATACAAAACAAACATCAACATTTTACATTTAATATCTTGTTTAATAGCACAACCATTACCTATATTGTACATACATTACATAGCAAGAAAATAAAACTAAAAACTGTGATGCTTTGATTGGTCAATGTCACATGGGAGGATTGGTTGAGTGGTTAACACTTCGGCCTTCCATGCAATTAGCCGGGGTTCGATCCCCGAAGTCGTCGCACGAATCACGGAATGGAATATCAGAGAAAGTGTTTTTCTCCTACCCACACAACACCAAAAACACAGGTGGAGTATAAATTGGTCTGGGGTGGATGTTGCGGTATCTGTAATGTAGCATTCAAGTGAGGTTGCACTATAAAAGATGCCGTTGGAAGCACTGTCCCAACTGGCATATTTTCATAATGGACTGGAATATTTCACATGTTTACTGCATGCAGACACAGAATAGAGCCTAGTTTAATTCCATATTTCTGGTCAAAAGCAAGATAGATTAATCTGTCTTGTTTCACCTTTTTTCCCCAAAGGTTGCATCACTCTTCCCCTTATCATGTTTTAGTGCCATCACTTCCTGTCAGTTTTTCCGCTACTTCCTGTTGTGACTCATCATCATGAGATTTTGCCAAACAGTCTTGATACACTAGTGCCACCACTTCCTCCAGATCTGAAGAGTTATGGTTCTTGTTAACCACTGACCCCTTGTACTGGTCAGGGTCATCGCCTGGACTACCACTGACCCTAGACTCTGACATCATCTGGACCATGTGATCGTCTTTAACTTTACCGAGAGATTTGATGATGTCTTTAGAGTTTGCTTCTTGATCTTTCTTTCCTTGAACCTTGTTTAATTTTCGTTCTGAAATTGAGGTGACAGAAATTGGGTATATTTGTGAGTTCCAGCCATAATACATTTGTGTCTAAACTCTGTAATTGATCTTCGTTATGAGAGTAGGTTTAGTATCTTGGAATTAATTCTAATTTTGTAGCAGATATTGTCTGATACAGAATGTTGTGATATGAGGTTTGGGTATGTCTTGCTCATACAAGTTCTTGTCAAATCCTGGTCACGGCACCAATTTTGTGATTGAATTTTAGATCAACACTAACTTAGATCCATGAACATTCTTTGCAACTAAACCATCTTGTACTCAGCAAATGTTTCAATCTGAAGTTGCAGAAATTTAAAAGTTTATATTTTTAACTTATCTTGGTACCTCGGTATATATTCTTACATATGTATAAAAGTTATACATTGTATGAATAAGGAGAAAATTAATTTTACTAGTATAAGACAAACATATGACTGATAAAAAAGTCTGGTATAATGTTTTATGGACTTGGATCAAAGTCTGTCAATGTATACTGTAAATATCATTATATATGGATTTCAGTTACATCAGGGACATGGTTAATGATATTTCTTCAGATTGCTCTTTTCTTGTGTAAATATACACCTAATTTACAACCTACAATTTCACCATTGTGTTCAACCATTAAATTCAGAATTTAACACATGTAACTTCACTGGATTGTGTTGGAGTAGAATTAAGTGTCCGAAACTGTTTTTTCTGGCATGGCTATGGCTTTGATAAATCATTTCTGGAAGGAAAACCATACCTTATGGCTTTAATGAGAAATAATAAAGATGAAATAAACGAAATATAATCAACAACAGTGTTCTGAATGTAAAAAAAAAAAAGACCGGGATTCGAACACTGAACTTCAGATTGTGATGCAGTTATATCCAAACGCAAGTTAATACACCACAATACAGTGGGACAGGGATCCTTAAGTTTAATTTTAATTAGTATGGGTCTTGTTAACATTTGTTTGAAGATAAGATAGTAAACGGTGGGAGGGCAAGGCATATTTGAATTAAATATGACACATCAACAGTACTAAGTTAGTATCTTTGCATACGTTTTCTTCAACCAATGTCAACAATATCCTGTACATTACGTTAAAAGTAAAAGAATGTCAGAGCTATCAAGGCCATGCACTATTTACCTAGAGATTGCAGGTAGCGCTCGGAACTGATGAAGTCCCTGGAAGGGTCCAGTCCCGGCCCCAACAGGGCAGGAATAGCCGGTAGTGCCTCCTCCATGTTACCGGAAGTAATCAACTTGTGTAATTTAATTGGAGTTATTCCCCTTGGGTCATGTATGACAAGATCCAAAGGACCTGTTACAGGAACAAAAGAATTTTGCCCACAAAGCAAGTTAACCATTACTGGGTTATATTTGTAGCTCCCTAAGACACGACCCATGAGATATTTTTAAAAAATGAAAAAGGTCCCCAGGGCCTGTGCTATGAACTATTTAGTGATGCCTTCCAAAGGTGTACGACAGGGTTCACTTTTTTGTCCATAAAACTATCAAAACAATGTTTTACGCTATCAAATAATATTATATTATTTAAAGTAGGATCTGCTGCAAATTATGAACTCAAATATGTTACAAAAAATTGCATAATAAAAAAAATATAAAATCTTAAACTCTAAAAATGTTGGTATTTTCATACATTTTTTTGCTACATGAATTGTATTACGGTAGTAAAACACCTATTTCCGGTTCTTGTACACCAAAAATCTTTTAGTATTATTTGGTGCATTATGTTGAGATACGATAGTGAAAATTTCAGAAAATTTGAGAACCGGTAAATTTGTCATATAAATGTCAAATTGTAGCAACGTCTATTTCCAAATAAAATCCAACAACCTTATGATCTATAGTCATGTTTGATAATTTAACAATATGTCGCACCAATTTATTATCGCAACTGATCAAATTTTCATCAATAAGATCTGCTGCTCATGATGAGCTCAATTATAAAGCTAGATGTTGCAAAATAGAAAAGTTATGCAGTCTCACACACATAAACGTTTAGTATGTTATGTACATTTTTAGTTGTTTCGCATCTTTATGAAAGTGATATACATATTTCCGGTTTTTGTACACCAACATACTTTGGATATTATTTGGCACATTATGTTGACTGACGATAGTAGAAATTTCGAAAAAATCGGTATGCGGTAAATGTGTCATTTTAAGGATAATATGTGTATGACCAATGTCAAAATAAACTTCAATAACTTCAGGTTAATGCAAGTATTTCATAATTAACCCAAAATCATTCCAATATACTATCATGGTGGATGATATGGTTCATAGTAGAGTATGACTGTTTAACTAAACTAGGTAGTTAAAGGGGAGGAATACAGCAAAAGTTAGGCAATTTGTCAGAACATTTGGTGAACCAGTATAATATGTTGAAGATATGTTAACCCATCACATTGTTTCTTTTTAGGAGAGTTATAGTTTCCAATTCATGGATTGTTGTATTTACTGTTGTTGTTTTTTAATTTGACAACACGTAGTCAAAATTGAACATTCAATTTTTTTTCTGAATTTCTCCTTTCTCAGTTCAATCTTAGGTCTTATTATTTTTTCATATTATTCCCGACAAGTAATTGACCAGAAGTGCATCAAGTGTCCACCGATAAAAACTGATATTGACTTGGAGCGCGTGATTTTTGTTGAAGGACTGGGTGTTTCTAAAAATAGAATTATGATGTGTCTCCAAACAATGCACCGTCCCACTTCCGAAGCTTTTTTTTTCTCCCAGATTACTAACACTACTGTTTTGTAAAATAATAAAACAATTGAAACCTTTAACTTCGGTCAATACCTGGATTTATCAACCCGAGAAAAGATATATTGACCTCGGAATGCGTCCTCGGTTAATATATCTTTTCCCGGGTTGATAAATTCAGGTATTGACCTCAGCCAAAGGCTATAATTGAATAATATTTCTTTTTTGAATGCATTCATAATATGCAGTCTCTGAATTTGCGAGCTGAAGGCTGGACCGGTTTAGCATCTGTTAAATGTGCATAGTATCCTAGATAATACAGTATTGATGCGACATGAGTACACATACCCGATGTTCTCTTTCCTGCAGGACACACACAATAGTATGCCTTGACAGGATCCTCTGATGCGTGTAGGTCAAACTCTATCCAGACATTGTGATTTGCCTGCGACCTGTGGCGAGAGTGTATTTGGCCTCGGAGAAGGTCATCAGCATGTTGGTACACCCATATCTCATAATCACCCCCATCCGTCTGATGTTCTGTGATATAGTCAGGTGCCAGCTTCAGCTGATATGTACCACAAGCCAAAATCGCATTGACCTGGAGATATTGACGATTTATTTTGACATTGGTCATACAACATATTATCCTTAAGATGACACATTTACCCATACAATATATTATCCTTAAGATGACACATTTACCGCATACCGATTTTTTCGAAATTTCTACTATCGTCGGTCAACATAATGTGCCAAATGATATCCAAAGTATGGTGGTGTACACAAACCGGAAATATGTCTATCACTTCCGTAAAGATGCGAAACAACTAAAAATGTACATAACATACTAAACGTTTATGTGTGTGAGACTGCATAACTTTTTTATTTTGTAACATCTAGCTTTATAATTGGGCTCATCATGAGCAGCAGATCTTATTGATGAAAATTTGATCAGTTGCGATAATAAATTGGTGCGACATATTGTTAAATTATCAAACATGACTATAGATCATAAGGTTGTTAGATTTTATTTGGAAATAGACGTTGCTACAATTTGACATTTATATGACAAATTTACCGGTTCTCAAATTTTCTGAAATTTTCACTATCGTATCTCAACATAATGCACCAAATAATATTAAAAGATTTTTGGTGTACAAGAACCGGAAATTGGTGTTTTACTTCCGTAATACAATTCATGTAGCAAAAACGTGTATGAAAATACCAAAATTTTTAGAGTTTAAGATTTTATAAAAAAAATATTATGCAATTTTTTGTAACATATTTGAGTTCATAATTTGCAGCAGATCCTACTTTAAATAATATAATATTATTTGATAGCGTAAAACATTGTTTTGATAGTTTTTTGGACAAAAAAGTGAACCCTGTCGTACACCTTTGGAAGGCATCACTAAATAGTTCATAGCACAGGCCCTGGGGACCTTTTTCATTTTTTAAAAATATCTCATGGGTTGTGTCTTAGGGAGCTACAAATATAACCCAGTAATGGTTAAATTGCTTTGTGGGCAAAATTCTTTTGTTCCTGTAACAGGTCCTTTTACTTTAAAAAATATCGTTAACGTGAAACCAACAAAAGTAGTAAATACCAACAAAACATCCGGCGGAAGTGAAGTCAGGTGTTTCAGAAGATTTCCGGCGGCACCCATCATGGATATCGATATTCTATCTATACTTTAAGTAAATATCAAAAACAAAAACCATTTGTTTTGATCAAAATAGAATAAATTTCAAATCAATTGAACTAATTTAAAAAATATGGTTACTGTACATCATTCGGGAGATTGGATGCATTGTAACTTAATTATTAAAAAACATATAGAATAAATGTATGTATTTAAATACACATTAATGAGGGGCATTTTGCATAACATGCAATTGACATGCCTAAGCAAGTTGTATACATTACATGTTACGTGGAGGTCGCCAATACTATATGTATAATATTATGTCATACTCTAATGACACAATGAACATATTTAGCACAGGAATCTGGATATCAATCACATAATAAGTGACCTCTTAAACTTTATTGAATATTACTCAAAGCATATCTGAGAGACATATTCAAATGAAGGATAACGAGCCATATTTTTATTTCCAAGTCATCAATAAATGTTTCTGACCAAAAGAATAAATAAAATATAGGCCAATAACTATTTTATCACACGCTGACTCTATAGCATTCCTCCATTAAATTACGGTAAAAATCATTAAATAAAAAAATGTAAAAAATAATACGTTTTCCGATAGCGATTCGGCTATAATTGTTATAATTCTTAAAGGAATGTGTAGTTTCTTATCAATACTCCGCTAATTAGCGAGCCCGCCACGCTGATATCCAGGTCTCACCATTGTAACATTCTTTATTAATCTACTGTTCATTTTTTGCCCGAAATAAAGTACATTTGAGTTGCTTAGCTTAGTGAAACGTGAAATACAGGTTTCATCGGCATTTCTTGCGAACTTCGGTGGAGAAAAAAAATCTTATTTCGTCTGGAAGTGATTCTTTTGTATCTAAAACATGTCTTTTTTAATTTTAGTATCGTTAGACTTCCTCCTCCCATCATTCCCCCCCTCCTTATCATCCTTCACATTCTCCCCCTCCTTATCATCCTTCACATTCTCCCCCTCCTTATCATCCTTCACATTCTCCCCCTCCTTATCATCCTTCACATTC